GATTCTTATGCTTCAATATAAACAAATGGAATATGCCTTAAGAATCAGAGGTTTGGGTGAGTCTGTGCAAGGAGATCTGAGAGAGATGGTTGCAAAGGACTTTGCTGTGATTTTGAATAGAGAAAAAGAGGAAATACTTAGTGAAATTGAACAGATATTTAGAGTTAACTCTGTGGTGGCAGAGCAAAAGAATTTGCCAAGAGATGTGGTAATTTATTTTGGGAAAAGATCCCTACGCAATGAAATTATACAAGCTTTTTATAAGAAGAGGTTTCAAATTGCTTCACAAGATGTTATAATTTTAAAGGAGATCCCATCTAAAATTTTAAGAAGAAGAAAGGAGTTTGCTTTTTTAGCAGACGAACTTAAAAAGAGACAAATTTTGTTTAGATGGGATGTTCCGACTGGAATGGTGGTGAGTTACCTGGGGATACGTTATAGTCTTAATACTGTTTCTAAAGCAAAAGACTTTTATACTTCGGTCCTGGGGGTATGTTCATCGCCACCTACCACGTTTAAAGCTTTGGAAGAAAAAAAGGCAGAATTGCAGTCTGAAGTGCTTACACTTATGAAAATTGGGAAATCTCAGTTTGAGGGGCCTCAACAAGTAGAGATGGAGGAGAAGAGGACAACCTGTGTAACATACAATTGTAAAGAAAAGGATCAACAGAAGAAGCTCAAGGAAGTTTCACAAGTATTGGTTTCTGAATCTGCGGGAGAAGTAGGATTTATAAACTTTTTGGAGCAACCTTTAAGGGCAGAATTGCAGTGTGAAGAGCCTATATTAATGAAAAATGTGAAATCTCAGTTTGAGGGGCCTCAACAAGTCGAGATGAAGGAGCAGAGGACAACTTGTGCAACATATAAATGTAAATAAAAAGACCAACAGAAGAAGGAGGTTAAGGAAGCTTCACAAGTATTGGTTCCTGAGTTTGTGGGAGAACCAGGATTTACAAATTTTTTTGAGCTACCTTTAAGGGCAGATTTTAAAGCACTTCTTTCGAGGTTTATGGACAAGAGAGACTGATAAGGATTGTGTTTATAGTGGATGGAACTGGTTATTGGAGAGAAGACTATGGAGATAGAATGAAAATTTTAGATAAGAAGTTTAAGTTTAAGTACTTAGTTTAAGTACTCAGAAGACTATTGAGATTGCGGGAGAAGAAAGATTCATAAATTTTTGGGAGCTACCTTTAAGAGGTTTATGGATAAGAGAAGGAATGTGTTTACTGTGGAGGAATTTGTTATTGGTAAAGATTTAAATAGGTATAAGGGAATTTTAATGTTTTAAGTAATGTTTAAATATGTGTTTTGGGATAACAATATAAGTATGATATGAAAAGGTTTAGAGTATATTATAAAATGATGGATAATAATATAAGTATGATATGAAAAGGTTTAGAGTATATTATAATTTGTTTAAAGATTGGGTTTTTTTCTTTTTCTCTTCTTTTCTTTTTCTCTTTCTATTATTATTATTATTTTTAAGAGAAGGTAATTTGTTTAATTAAACGTATTTAGACTTGTTTAGGATTTATATGTTTTTTAAGTTCTTTTTTATTTGATAGGAGAGAAGATTATGGAGATTGAATGAAAATTTTAGATAAGAAGTTTAAATTTAAGCATTTAGTTTAACTATTCAAAAGAGTATTCAGTTTTAATGGTATAATGAATGTTTATATGCTTATTTTTGTGTTTTAGAGTAAAGAAAGAGGGAGGTTAGATCTTATATTGTAGGTATAGATATTTAAAGAAAGTAATGTTTAAATTTGTGTTTTGGGGATTCTATATAGAATGATGGATAATAATATAAGTATAATACTAGAAAATGTTTAGAGTATATTATAATGTGTGTTTAATGTTTGCAATTATTATCTTTTAGAGAAGATAATCTGTTTAATTTAATGTATTTAGATTTGTTTAGGATTTATATGTGTTTTAAGTTTTTTTTTTATTTTTTATTTTTTTTGAAAAATTTTAATTAAGCCTGTACTCAGCTCTGGGAAGGTTGAGGGAGGGTATGGGAGGTTTGGGGAGATGGGGGAGGGTATGGGAGGGCGGGGGGGGGTTTGGGGAAGGGATTTGTTTTGTAAAATTCAAAAATTTTCAATAAAAAAAAGTCAAACCTTTAATTATTTTGTATCTGCTAACAGTTGAGAGAGCTTTTCCTTCAAAAGGCATATATACTACTGACCGACTCCAAAACTTAAGAATATTTTTCTGCCAGCCCATGATTATTTTATTGGGGGCAATCTAGCTTTCTCTCCAAACCTAGCTAGTACTTTGTTCAGTGGATGTTTTTCTCATTGGCTGGTGATACTGGGAGGGTGTGGGAAAGGAAACAATCTTCCTGGTGCAGGAAATGAGGACACTGACATGTTAGGAACAGAGGCAGCTGGGACTGGTAATGAAAACAGCAGCATCTATAACTGAAACAAGGGTCAAAGGTCTTCGAAATGCTCAGAGTTTCATACAGCCAATCAGCGTAATTATCAGCTTATCAATAATAATAATAAAGTTGGAAGGGACCTTGGAGCTCATCTAGTCCAACCCCCTGTTCAGGCAGGAAACCCTATACCATTTCAGACAAATGGCTGTCCAGTCTTTTCTTAAAAACTTCCAGTTTTGGAGCATTCACCACTTCTGGAGGCAGGTCATTCCACTGATTAATTGTTCTGTCAGGAAATTTCTCCTTAGTTCTAGGTTGCTTCTCTCTTTGATTAGTTTCCATCCATTGCTTCTTGCCCTGCCTTCAGGTGAATAACACAGCTTGAACAACAACTCTCCATCAGCTCTCTCTCCCCTGATGCCGGATCTACACTTTTATGTCTTGGTGTTTTGTCCTTGGAAAAAAGGTCTTTGCATAGAATCTAAGTGATCACAATGAAAGCAGCTACAAAGTCACAGTACAAATACTCTGATGGAGTGGAGTTCATAAAGGAGTTATTCTCATTTCTGAACCAGAATTACTGCACAAGAATCTGGTCTTGCTCAGCAGTATTATCCCTTTCTCCAGATGCAATCTTTTTTTGCCTTAATGTCAGTCTCTGGATCTACGTCTAACGATGAACTACCACTTCCAATAGCCTCAGCCAACATGACCAATGGTAAAGCATGTTGGGAGTTATTGTTCAGCAGCATTTAAAGTCCCACTTCTGCTTGAGTTACAAAATAAGGCACATATAACTAATTCAATGTATCCAATCTGGTATCTTCCAGATGTGTTGAACTTAATTGACAGTTGCATAGCCAACCATCAAGAATTATAAACAACCAGGTCCAGCTCTGAAATGAACCAGGTTGAGGCAAACTGTCATAGTAATCACTTCCTATTTTTCCTCTTTGTTCAACAACAGGAAGAAGCAGAGAATTTGCAAGCAACAATGATCTTATTATAAATAACCGTTTCTACAATATTCTGTGAAAACAATCTCACTCACTGGTATTTAACCCCTCCTCCCCCAAAGCAACAGCATCAATAGGAGAATGCAGATTTCACAATCTAGTGTCTTTGCTTATTGTACTTAGGCAACAATTTCACAGAAAACAATGCAACATTTGGCATAAAAATTACTCACTTATCCTTGCCTTGGGTCACCCATTCCTCTGCCAACTGTTTTCTCTCCTGAATGCTTAGGGATAGACCTTCTCCTGTTGTTCCATTCACTATAGTTAAAATATATACATTTGATATATTAAAAAGAATAGAATATAAAATGATTATGAAAGAAACTAACAAAGAAGATTAAAATAAGCTTTACATTCCATTCCCTACAAGGCATCTAAAGTGGTTGTAAATATCAAAACCTAATAGTGGCATCTTCCCTAGAGTTCACTTGGCCACATCCCTCAAAACTTCAGGTGGCAAGTTAAAACAGTTTTATGTGGGAGCATTCACAACAGATATATTTGGAAATAAAAACCAACAGGAATAATTAAAACTAAACCAACTAGAAAAATCAAAATAGAAAAACCGAGCAAGGATGACAGGCATTTTCTTAATACTGAGAAATCTAAATATTTTTTTCTGTTCAGTACATCTGCAACTTACATGCATTTATTTCTTATTTCTGATGGTTTACTGTTTTCTCCCAAGTTTTGTTGTTTGTACAAGAAGCCTTTCTCATCTAATGCCCATCAAATGTGTCAGACACTTGGGAATGTTCAGCCACATCCCAAAACATCAGTATCAATACATTTGGACGGCAGTAGAGATAATCCATCTAAGTTAAAAAATATTTAACTTTTCAGTTTAAGACTTTAGAGTCAATTATTTATTATTTCTAAAACCCAATCCATTATTTTAAGTGAGCAGCTTTCCAAATACCTGCAATAAAGGAACACTTTCTGTACAGGGTTTTCTCCCCAACAGTACTTGAATATGGTATATCGAAAGTGTGTGAACATAAGCCAGGGATCAAAATGCTTCTGCAGCACTTAGTAAATGAACTGGGAAAGGACCCTGAGTCAAGCCTGAAATTAAGATTATATCTTATTACATTTAAACAATCCATGATCATACTCAGCATATGGTTGGAATGATGGAAGATATGAGGTAGGAAATCATCTGCTTCAGGATGCTAAACATTTGGCCATTTAGCCCACTTAAAAAGTTACCACTGAGGAAAGTATATTATTTTTCTGGGCAGACTTGCTTGGCAGAGTATTTAGCATCTCTGCCATCAGGGCTCTTAAAATTAGCCTGAGTCTTTCTGTCCTGTGGTTTTTTTTTGGGGGGGGGGGTCCTACTCATACTTTCAGTAGAGAACAGATCTGTCCCATTTTGCATAAGACAGTATGTTAGATATTGCTAAACCACTATTATTATTTTTGTTAGTCTCCTTTTTTGAAAATCAACATGCCCAGATCCTTAAACCCTGTTCCATTTGGCACAATGTTCAAGCCTGTTGAGGTAATTTTGAACTGTGATTCTTGTCTTCTATGTAATTAACCATCAGCTTGGTATCATCTGACACCTGAGAAGCATAATTGCTCTTCCACTGGGGCCTGTCTCCTCTGTTCCTTGATAAATTCTTATGCTATGTTCTCTTGGCAATCTCATTCCTTTATAAAGAACTTTCTGTATAATATCCACATGTTCGTTACTTTTCCTGATGAATCTTAAATAAGGCTGGTCTCCACCCTTTTCAGCTTCTCCTTCAGCAAGGAGAGAAGCTTCCATTTGCAACAGGTATAACTGGCATATATTTGCCACTCAAACATTTCACAGTAGCTGCTGCTTCAATGCACCTGTGGTGCAATAGTTCCTTCTCCTCTTAATCTTCCTCACAAAACTGTTTCTCCTAATTATTCTCCTGTATCCTTATTCCAAGTACTGTTGCTCTTTTCTTTTCTACAGAGGGCTAGCCAAGCCTTGAATGGCTAGCTAAGGAATGCAGGTCCATCCTCTTGCTAGTTCTGAGGTCAAGTAAGTTAGCACAAGCTGATAAGACATTCCCCTCAGATCATGTGCTCAACAAATAAGTGAGTACAGCATCCTCCCCCCACAAAACAGCTGCTACTAATCAGCTAAACATTATTTGCAAAACCTTGGAAGATCAGCTCTGCAAATCCCAAGCTTTCTTGCCTAACTTCCCATTTACTCTCCTGCTTGCTCTGGCTGTGAGCTCCTGTTTCTTTTTAAGAAGTGCTGCTAAACTAAGGCAGTTGAGGGTTTTTAAATCCTAGCTTGCTTGGACACATAATCTCAAACTTTTATTTAGTAATTAATTTACTTACCTTAGTACACCTCTTCTAATTTAATTAGCCATTTATACCAAGGGAGAGACAAAATGGAATCAAATGGAGTGAATTTGTATTCAGTTTGGTCATATGCTGATAAGCCACCATTCATAGTTATCTCTTGGTTATCCATGTTTGATACTGTATCTACTTCTAAACCAGAAGCTGTCCCTTTTATTCAAAAGAAAAGTTTCCTTGAAATACAAGTTATAATCTGTGTCTTACCAAATACATTCCTGATACCTTGCTGATTTATTAGGTAATCCACATACTGCCCAATCAGAGAGAGATTGATGTTTCTAAAAGAAAAAAGAAAAAAGGAACATACAGAGCAGACGGAGCTAGTTATAAAAATCTTTTACAAGTAACAACTTACAAACTAAACTTCTTGAAGATGGAGATTCAGAATTTTTTCCTTCTTCTGTCATTGGCACAAAATAGTGAATAAGATCTAATAAACAGCTTTCCCGCCCCCTCCCTTCAAAGCACACTTTATGAAGGGGAAAATTTAGTTTATAAAAGCAAGCAGAAAATGGTTCAAAATAAAATCTGTTAAGAGTTGAATTTTTATTTGACTTTCAAGATTTTGCTTTGGACAAAGTTTTAGCACACATAGAAAGACATTTATATCATCTTTCCTATTAAAAGTCAGTTTACTAAATAAGAGTTATCAAGTGATCTAGATCCTTAATAATTAAGGATAAAGTTGGATGAAGTCTCTGACAGGTGTATTTGTTTAAAAAAAAATGATGTACCACCAAACCAGGGTCAACTTTCAACAAGGACATAAATAGAATTTCTCCAGGATGATCTATGCCTAATCCGACCCTTCAAGTTTTCCAATGGTGTACACCCATTGCTATTGTAATCTTGTCTGCTGCTGATCATTCTCCTCTGTTTCATTCCACCTTTCCCAGCACTAGGACTTTGCATGGGAGCTGGATGTGCCTACAATGTCTCCAAAATATTGAGAAGAAAAGACTGCTTACAATATCAGACCCAAGTCTGTTATTTTCCTCTTACAAATTGGCTAGTGCCAAATGATAGTATCTTTTCTAAAAATTCTTGGTTTATTCCATACTACAGTGGCATGATACTGCATTGGGACCTTCTGCATCTCATGGAGGAATCTACATAGACTAGAATAGGAGTGTCAAACTGCCGGCCCACGGGCCGGTTTCATCCTACCAGAGCCGTGCCCACCCCATTGCTGGCAATGGCGAAAAAGCTCCGATACGTTGAGTGACATCACGTGACGTCGCGAGTTTGACATGCCTGGGTTAGAAACTGAAAAACTACTTCAGACACACCTGAGGATTTGTATACCGAGCTATATTGATAGGTGTCACATATCAACATTTAACAAAGTAATCGTTAAATACAGGGAAGATAAAAGTAATCTGCAGAGGAAAAATGGATTATGGCAAATGTAGAAGTCAGGAGGGGAGAATTGCAAAGTATACATTCCATTTGTGTAGTTGAATAAAGGTAGTTCAGGCAATTCAAGCAAGTTAAATACTTCCAAGAACCAAAAAACAAATATGATAAAATCTAATTGTTGCTATCCAGAAGGCCATTGCCCCCTTATTTGAAGATGTTTGGATATGGTACATTTAATTTAATGTACTGAACTAATATTGCTTTTAGCATTAACAAAACACTTACCCCTCCTGAGTCATTGGGGTAACGGTGGCTGCAACCAGCCCTTGCAGTTTCTTCTGGAATGCCATGAAACAAGCTGAGTCAGAGATATAAAAGAAATCTGCCTGGAATAAGCAAAAAAAAAAGTACTGAGCAGTGTTAATACTAAAACTTTAAGGCAAAGTTCAGGACCAAAAGAATATCAGAACATCTTCCAAGCACATTACTTACTATTTCTGCTATAGGGCTCTGGTCACAAATCCTGTAGTAACATTACAGATTTAAACAGCTTTGTGGAGTTACATCAACAACACAGAACAAAGAATATTCTTGGGATCTAACTACTGATGAACAGAAGTTTTGGTTTGGACCCCAGTTCAGTGGATTTAGAAAACAGGTTTATTCATTTTGGGCTGGTCCAGAGACCCCTCAATTCAACTCAGATCACAATTATCTCTTTCATTAACTAGCATTAAAATTAATAATAATAAAAAAATCCTAAATTTCAGGAATAGTAACTTCATTAAGAGGATATGAAATTTCAGCCCAACAGGTCAATGAATTTTGTTAGGTGTTGTTACATTTTATTTTGTCATAATCCAAAGAGCACCATCCTATGCTCTTTTTCCAGCTTACAAAGCAAGTTTTTTTTTCTTCTATTACATGAAGAGCCTTGAGATTTTTTTCCTTGGTCATTTACCCAATATTACTAGAACATTTGGCATTTGTCTTCCATGGACTCAGTATATAATTTACTTTGGTTAATATTATAGAACCATTTTATTTGTATAAAGGAGTGTTAGTAGTGTGGGTTCCTGTTAATTGTAGAGAATAAAGGTGATCTAAAGTGTAATCTCTTACTTTCATGTTTTCAGACAGAGAGAAGTCATTGCTTTCTCTTTATGTACAGAAAACTAATTTAAATCCGGCTTTTCTCAGAACACCTAACAGGCAGCAACGTATGATAGGTGGGTCTTCTGGCACAGCCTTATGGATTGCGCAAACACAATCATCCAGTCTGAGAAACAATTTTATAAAACTCATTGCTAACTCCAATATTCTGTAAGTTTCATCTAAATCAGTGATTCTCAACCTGTGGTTCGGGACCCCATTTGGGGTCGAACGACCATTTCACGGGGGTCGCCAAACAACGCAGTCCGCCATTTTTCCCCCCTTTTCCTTAGCTGTGCTACTCCCTTTTATTCTATTGGCTTTTGAAAGCCAATAGAATAGACTCTCTTGAATAGAGTCTAATTCTATTGGCTTTCAAAAGCCAATAGGAATTGTCCAGGCTGTCTCTGCCCTGCTGAGCCTGCCAAAAGTCCCATTCTGCAAACGGTACTGCACCAGTTGAGTAGTCCTCAACTTACGACCGGTTGAGTAGTCCTCGATTTACGACCGGTTGGGGGTCGCGGCATTAAAAAGGTTGAGAACCACTGATCTAAATGAAGGCACTGGATTATTAATGTTTTACATGAGTACAAGTAAACCCAATTTCCTTGGCGGGAGCCAAACTTAGTTTTTTGCAAAAATTAAAAACCAGTTCCTAAATTCCTCTAAGCCCATGTAAAAACATACTTATATATTATTGTCTTACAACTGAATAAAATTCGGAGGTCACTACTACATCGCTATTTGATGGATTTTTTTTTCTTGTCACTTTTAACTTGTCCCAATATTCCCTTTCCCTTTTTCCTTTTATGTTATTTGTATTTTAACGTTTGATTTTGAAATTTAATAAAGATATTTAAAAAGAAGAAAATCAGCTACAGCACAGATGTTTAACCAGTCATTGGCTTCGTTTGCTCAATCTGAGTTGTCATGATTTTTTCTTGTTTTCGTTTTGTTTGGGGGTGTTTTGAGATCTTTTTGCACCCAAAGGAGGGTTCTATCCTCATACTCTTCTTTTCAGTCCAAGTTATGTCAATATTCTCCAAAGATATAATATACAATAAACTTACCACTCCGCTATCCGGAACACCTGGTTTAAAATCACACTAAACAGAAGAGATGTCTTCTCCCCGGCTCTTCTCTCGTTATTTTTTCTCTCTCTCATACCCCACCCACTTTTGGGAAACACTGAGCATGCCCGGAAGCAATACTTAAGTCCGCTGCCTTGAACTTAACTCTTTATACTACAGTATCCGAGATTGAGAAGTTTTGTTCGCTGAGATATCAAACGTGGAAGCGTCAAAAGGGATTCATAGCGGAGTGAAATTCAAATGCTTATATCCTACGGAAAGTGCCAAGAGCTTTATGGTGAAGAGGAAGTTCGTCCTTGTTTTTTTTTTTTTTTTTTTTTAAGCTATACGTATTTTAAAACCTGTTTGGAAAGAGCCTGAAGTATAAACCTCTATATACCCAGCAGTCAGTTTCATCAAATCCAGAAAAATTTGCCTTCGGATAGATCGGTGTAAGATTATTACATTTACACCCATTCCTGTCTATGGTACTTTAGTGTGGTAAATATACTTCTCCCTTTCTCCTGTTTTTTTCTTTACAACAATCCCGAAGTAATTTAGCCTGATGCTAAACCTGGCATTAACTGCATTAATCTTTCATAATTGTGGTCAGAACTAGAATATGGCATCTTTAGTTTACACATTTTTATTGATGCAATCAGGATTTTAAGATTTGTTTGTGCCTTAGTCAAATGAAAAGAAAGAAAATTATAATGTTGGCTCTGATGGAGAAGGCAACCATAGCAGGATGGGGAAGTGACAGTAGAATAAGGAAATAGAAGCCAAGCTATAGAAATGTAATTCTGACAGATGCCATGGCTGGAATTGCAATAAAATAATACTCACGTTAACTACAAATTAAAAAAAATAAATCCAGAACCACCAAGTAAAGGGTAATAATGTTTATTAGACCAGCAAAAGATTTATTGGAGGTAATTCAGTATCTGGCTGAACTTGTCCAATCTCAAAAGGCAGGGCTTTTTTTGCCATAGAACACCCAGAACAGAGTTCCGGCACCTTTTTTGGATGGAACCTTGTAGGGTAGGCAAGGCGGGTTGTATGACGTGTGTGAATTCCGGCACCTTTTTTTTTTTTTAACAAAAAAAGCACTGTCAAAAGGTAACAGACTTCTGATTTTTAATTGAACGGTAACCAACTGGGGAATTTCAGAGAAAATGAAAAAATATGCTGGAAGAAGATAATTGGAACCCACTTCTGTACAGTGGCAAAATTAAATTGTAGAAATGTGTCTTCCTATCTCAGGGCAAGCTTGACTCAAGGGTATCTGTACATTTTAAAAATCTCTTACAGCTAATTTTTTTTCCAGTTATAGATTTTGTGGGTCTCAAACTCTTTAGATAAAGTGCTAAATGCTGGGGGTGGGAGTATATTTGGAACAACTGTTATTATAATTATTTTTTAAATGGAAAATTTAAGATGTATTCTTTTTGTTCTTTTTCATTTTAGTTTCAGAGTCTCTCATTACAGTCTGTGATCATCTCCTACCAAAAAAATTTGCCTACCTGGAGGGTCTATTTATCACTCTAAGGCAGTGGTTCTCAACCTTTTTAATGCCGTGACCCCCAACCGGTCGTAAGTCGAGGACTACTCAACTGGTGCAGCACCATTTGCAGAATGGGACTTTTGGCGGGCTCAGCAGGGCAGAGACAGCCTGGACAATTCCTATTGGCTTTTGAAAGCCAATAGAATTAGACTCTATTCAAGAGAGTCTATTCTATTGGCTTCCAAAAGCCAATAGAATAAAAAGGAGTAGCACAACTAAGGAAAAGGGAAAAAAATGGCGGACTGCATTGTTTGGCGACCCCCGTGAAATGGTCGTTCGACCCCAAATGGGGTCCCGACCCACAGGTTGAGAACCACTGCTCTAAGGAAACTACTTGGTACAGGAATGGTTTAATTATCATCAGCCATTTTCCAGGACCACCTTCTTGTTTATTTTTCACTTTATTTTAAAAAGTTGCTTGGATTCTCTATAGCAAGCTTGGCATGGTGGTGGTAGTATTTAATTATGTCAATTCCAGATAAAATAGTTAGCCTAGAAGCTATTATAATGTCTGAGCCAAGGCACTGCAATTCCATTGTTCTGGTTCCTATAATATAATAAGTACAGGTAATTCTTGACTTATAATAGTTCATTTAATGACCGTTCAAAATTACTATGGCACTGAAAAATGTGACTTATGACTGTTTTTTATAGTTACAACCTTTGCAGCATCCCCTTGATCATGTGATCAAAATTCAGATGCTTGGCAACAGGTTCATATCTATGACTTTTGCTGTGTCCCAGGGTCATGTATTCATTTTTTGCAACCTTCTGACAAGCAAAGATAATGGGGAAGCCAGATTCACTTAACAACCAAGTTACTAACTTATCAACTGTAGTGATTCACTTAACAACTGTGGCAAGAAAAATCGTAAAATGAGGCAAAACTCACTTAACAAATGTCTCACTTAAAACAGAAATTTTAGGCTCAGTTATGGTCATAAGTCAAGGCTACTTGTATTGTTCAAACTTCAGGCTCTTCCTAATGCTTATTGACTAAGCAATCTCTGTAGGTTTATAGCTTACTTGATTAACTATATATTCTTTTCTGATTAAATGGTATGACCCATACTAGCTCAGACAGATGTGTTCTTTTGTGTGTGGCTATAATTGGTAGCTGCTATCTGAAGGCTCTAGATCTGCCTCTTCTTGCTTGTAAAACGCCCATATTGAGTTCAACATGGGGGCAGCTAAAGGAAGAAAAACAGGAATTAAGTTACTGGAAGAAACATACTGTGAATAATTAAGTTGTGGAAGGGGATTCCTTGTAAGAGAAGGGCTTGCTTTTGAGGGCAGGGAGCAGTGTGGATAGCCAGAAAACCAAGAACCAAAGGCTGTGGAAAAACATTTTAATACAAATAAATAATTTGAGGATTTGGAAGTTGGGGTAGGAGATATTTGCAACGGGGGGATTGAGATTTTCATTTTGTTTTTCAAATGGAAAAAGCAAAGGTGTTATTTAGTGAGGTTGATGGTTCATGTGAACTAGAATGGAAAAAAGTTAGATCTTTCTCCCTCCCCCAAACAAACACAGTGCTCCTTTGGCTTAAGTTTGTGATGTCATACTCAGCCTGATGCTTTGTTTCCCAGCCTTGGCAACTTGAATGTATATGGACTTCAACTCCCAGAATTCCCCAGCTAGCCTGAAGTTGAAGTCCAGAGATCTTCAAATTGTCAAGGTTGAGAAACATGGCTTGAGGTTATTATATTCTATGCAGTGCAAAGGAGCCCCCCCCGGGAGCTAAAATCAAGTCCTCGCAAAAGGCTAAATTATGTCGGTCCCTTTGCTCTCAAAACTTGAAAAAGCGATGTTTCTTGCTTGGAATGTGATTAATAAGCATTCCATTGATAGACATCCCAGAAGAGCTAATTATTTGTCAGACAAAGCAAGTTAAAGTACTTCTGTGGTTGTCAGTGCATGTAAAACAACTTGTTTGGGAATGACCAAAGATATCTGAGGAAATCCTTTAGAAATAAAGGGTGCCTCTTCCAAACAGTTCCTTAAAATTAGCAACAAAAAAAATAAAATAAAATTATGAAAAGTAGAAATACAGAAAGATGTGGCAAAATTCAGTTGTCTTTAGAATAAGTTCCTAACTTCTGTAATTTGATCTTTGCTCATGTATCCAGTCAGAAAAGTGTGCATTGTTTAGTTCATTTGTACATCTGTATACAGTTTCTGAATTTGTGCTCTGGTTGAAAGACAAAAATAAATGAAATGGAGAATTTGTAAGAAGCTAGGGTCAGGATGTCATATATGCAGATGATAGGGTAGAATTAGGATAGCTTAATTGGTAAATTTCATAAATTTATATTCAATGGTATTAAATTAAAGTAGATTTAAATTAAATTCACAAGAGCCAGTTTGCTGTATTGGTTAAGGTACTGACCTAGAAATCAGGAGACTGTGAATTCTTAGGCCTCCCTTAGGCATGAAAGCCAACTAGGTGATTGGGCTGGTCCGTCTTTCTCTTTCATCCTAACCCAACTTTCAGGGTTGTTGTTAGGCAGAAAACAAAGGAGTATTAAGTATTTTCACTAACTTGACTTATCTATCTAAATACTACTAAAACTTTTGTTGTTATGACCTTTAACTGGGTGAATTGGTGTATCATAGGGCAATATTTTTTGAACCAAGGTACCTCAAATGGGCTAACTTACAGAATGCATCCAAAATTCAGGTTGTGTCTACTTCAATGCTCCTGGCTGCTGCTGGGCCTCTGGTCTGCTGCTGTGGTGTTCTTTATTTTCAAAGTTTTGTGACAATTTTCCAGTCAGCCTTGCAATCCCTCACTCCCATCCACCTACCCCACTTTGCTGGAAAGAGGAAGGAAGGAAGAATTAGGATTAGAATAACAGAGTTGGAAGGGACTTTGTAGGCCATCTTGTCCAGGGGTCCCCTGGTCCGTGGACCATTACTGGGCCACGGTATGCCAGCAACCGGTCCGCACAAACAGAAAGCCCCATCCGTGAGATGCAGGCAGCACACAAAACCACACACCCTCCGGTCTGCGGGAAAAACTCCATGGAACTGATCCCTGGTGTCCAAAATGCTGGGGGCCTCTGATCTAATCCAATCCCCCACCCAAGCAGGAGACCCTATACCATTTCTGACAGATGGCAGTCCAGTCTCTTCTTGAAAGCTTCCATTGATGAAACTCCCACAACATCTGAAGGCAACCTGTTCCATTGGTTGATTGTTCTCACTGTCAGAACATTTCTCCTTATTTCTAGGTTGAATCTCTCCATGATCAATTTCCATCCATTATTCTCATCTGGGCTTCAGGTGCTTTGGAAAAATAGGTTGATCCCCTCCCCTCTGTGAAAACCCCTCAAATATTGGAAGACTGCTATCATGTCTCCCCTGGTCCTTCTGTTCGCTAGACTAGCCATGCCCAGTTTCTGTAACAGCTCTTCATATGTTTTAGACTCCAGTCCCCTAATCATCTTTGTTGCTCTTCTCTGCACTCTAGTCTCAACATCTTTTTTATAATGTGGAGACCAAAATTGGTTGCAGTATTCCAGGTGTGATTTTACTAAGGCTTTATAGAGTGGTA